AGGGGTAGGCCACATTGTTTCTTCCAGCTACAATTTAATAATTTTGATGTTACGATTTGTTTACTATTTGTCTTTCCTACTAGACACATACTCATCATGCCCTGCACAGAACAGCCCATCACAAGCACTCAATAAATGTTCAATCAGTGAATAAGTCAATGAGCAGGTACTTTGTAGATAAGTAGATAAATTTGTGGATGATTTGTAGATAAAAATCTGCACATGTCAGGAGCTCTTTGATAGGGCTCCATGGAGGATGGGATGCCAGGCTGGGCCTTAAAAGGGTCTGATTTTTAAAGGGAATCCAACAGTGGAAAGAGGAAACGCTTTAGTGAAAATGTAGCCCCAGGGCTGCCTGGCAATTTGGCTCCAACTGCTTTTTCATGGTGGACCTATTGGGGAAATACGTGAAACATGTATGTCCATTATATAGATATTTATTTAGAAATTATTAATATTTACATGTGTGGCTGCATGTATTAATTGCATACATTAGAACATAGAAATTCTAATATTTTCTTCCTGTATCCCAATGGGTTGTCTTGTGTCCATAGTTTGGAAGTCACTGGTGCTGGCTGATGAGATTGGTCAGAGCTGTAGGCCCTGGGGTGAAGGGGGTGTGGCCTAAGTCTCAAAGACAGAGGGATTTTGATGCTTGTTTCCACCAACTACTGGCCTTTCTCACTTGTAATGATTTTAATAAAAAGATATAATTAATATTTATCCAGTATTGAGAGGCTGAAAGACAAACAATGGCCAGGCCATATATGGCAATAGAACTCTGACCCACAACCTCTGCAGCAAGCAGCTCAAAATGGCCAGGACATGGTGGATTACTGCCAGCTTCCCTAATTTTTGCCCCACTTCCAACTTAGGCCCAACCAAAGAAAGCCTAATATGTTCCCCTCACCAATCCCATGGGATGCCCCACTTCTGGTTAGCCCCCTCCAGTTTCCCCAGACCAGCAGCCTTCAATCAGGGCACGCCTGTCCCCCACAAAGCTTGTTCTCACTTGGGTGGTCTTTGTTTATTTCCACGGTGCTTACTATATGCCTAGCACTGAGCTAAGTGATTTACACACACTAGCTGTATTTATCCTTGAAACTTCGTGAAGTAGTATGGACATTATTCCTGTCTTACAGCTGAGAAAACAGATAATGCCCAGAGAAGTTGGGTAACTTGTCAAGGTCACACAGCAAATTAAGAGTGAGGCTAGGCCGACGTGTACAATGCCTGACACACAATGCACAGTACCAAGGCATTGAATACATTCAGCACAGCTTGGTCTCTCCCCATTTACTTATCGCCCCTCTTAATCCGCCCCCTACACTGTGAATTGTTGGAGAGGGTAGGTAGATTTGTGCATTTTTTTCTTAAAATAAAAATCTTCAGTATTTGTTGCAATGTTCAGGGTTTTATGAAAGTGAAGGCTTTGCCTCTCTGCTTCCAGCAAGAGTGTGTTGGTGAAACCTCTGTAGAGAGATGAGTCCTTGGTTTTCCTTGGTAAACATCCAAGTATTTTTAACTCCTATGATAGACTAGGATAAGATGTGAGAGATTTTTAACGGGCAAACAAAGGGGATAGAGTCATGTCAGAAGTATATGTTATATGAACCATGGTTGATGAGAAAAAAATGTATTTGAAATAAAAATCCTTGGTGACCCATGGATAGAAATACATTGGTCTCCTTCCTTTCAATTTGCTCAACCAACCAACCAACCAACAACCAATCAACCAAGCAAACGAACCAACCCCCTTGCGAAAGCTTTTGTAGTTTAACCGAATTTTATGATTGGGAAAGATTTTTGGAACCATCCAAGATAAATTTTTTACTTTAAAGTCAAGAAATTATTTGCTCTTCGATGACAGAAATGGCACTAAAACCCAGCCCTCCTGGTGAGCAGGCCACACAGCCACGGAAGTGTACTTTTACTGATTTAGGAAGCAGCTGACACACAATAAATATTTAGCCCATTATGTTTTTGCATATATAACAAGTGCTAGGCAGGTCCTTAAAGTTTTAGGGTCACTGCCCACATTGAGACTATGATGAAAATGATGAATTTTTTCCATGGAAGAATGCCCCTAGGACACACACTCACACACACAAACACACACTTTTGTAACTGATTGAGAGGTATTCAAGGACTCCTGAAGTCTACCCAGGGTGCCTCTCTGGGAAGAGGAGCTGTCTAGGGTCATGGAACAGTGTTTTTAAGTAGAATCTGGGGGCCCAGCTAAAGTCAGATACCACCAATTGGTAATGTCCCCAAGCTCTGAGGTGATGTGGTTTTCCTTGGGTGCAGGAGGAAGAGGTGAGATAGATTCAGAATTGGGATTGCCAGGCTAGGGCAGTGGGAGAGCATATATATGCATGTATATGAATTGTGGACTCTGTTAGGAATGTGTTTGAGTAACTGTGAACTCAAGAAAGGGTGGAGAAGGAACTCAAGAGGGGATGGCAAGGCATGGAAACTTGGGAGGGCGAGAGGGGCCGCTGGTGCCTGGAGAATGTGCTTGGTCAGAGCTGGGAATGGGAGGGGTGAAAGGCTAGGGAGCAGTGATCACAGGACGAGATTCTAGTGGAGGCTCGCAGTGGTGGAGCACTCCCCTGTGATGACAGGGTTCAGGTTGTGACCATGACAGTGGGTCACTCGCTGAGTCTAGAGTGCCCACTGTCATTTTTGCACGTAGAGGTTGTCCAGGATGTACGTGGGAGCTAATGGGAGCTGCCTGTAGAATGCATGATAAACGCATCAGTTAATTTGGGAGGGATCTGCCTGACTTTAGAGGGAGTGAAGAAATCTCTCTGAAGTTGAATCTTGCCTGGAAACTTTTCCATTACTCTGAGGCTGTCTCCTCTACTTTGCTTCCTGACTCCTCATTTTCAAATACACACATGCTTGAGAGTCAGCCCCATCTGGGTTTACAGCCACTTATTGCTGGGGGACCTAACCCAATGCTTCAGCCTCCCCAGTGCTAGTCCTGCGGCTGAGTGAATGTTCAAAAATTATTTTTGCAGAAGCTTGCACTGATTGCGCTAGCTGCCATCTGTAGCGTGGTTATAATAACACCAAACCCAACTGGGTATTCAGTGACATAATGCTCAATAACCCAGGTTCTTCCCACTCAACCTCCCTCTTGTCCAACATGTGTGGTTAAAAAATCATCCCTTGTGGCTTTTGATGTGGTTTTTTCATTTAACTGTTTTGTATCCACTTTCTTGTAGATTATACAAAGCAAACGCCCTAAGGATTCTACTGAACCTAAGCACAGAGTTCCAAGGGAATGAAATTAAAAAGTTGTTATATTTTTAAATATACTTTTCTGTGTTAAAAATAAAAGCTTAAAATAATATAAGCAAAAACAAAAACAAACCAACCCTACAAAAAAAAAAAGCCACCCAAAAGAAAAGAAAACTTTAATGAGACTGAAATGATGAGGTGGAAACCACCAGATTCATGGGGCTTTGCTGTAATTTTTATTAGTTGGCAGCCTGGTTTCTATTTTAGGCCCAGGGAATTAAATGGATCAAAGTGGGGGTTTGAATTCCAGTATTTCGAGCTCCCGGGTTTTGGGAAGAGAAAGAGGTCGTGGAAACCCAGTAGCCAAATAAATACCGTTCCTATAACAAAATGCGAACGGAGGTGTGGGTTGACACAGAAACAGTGACTTGGACGGTCAGAATTCGCGCACGGATAGGGCCTCCCCAGCCCGCTAACGCCCGGCCTGGCCCCGAAAGTGACAGAATCCGAGTCTCCAGGCCAGATTTTCCCTCTAGCCATTCCCGGCCACGCAAAGCGGAGCAGCGAGCACACAGAAAGGGATGTCTTCATCGCCAGCCAGGATGGAACAAACCCGCCCGCTCGGGGAGTGCTGAGAACCGAAGGGTCCCTCGAACGCCGGCAGCAGCCAGCATGACTTGACTGCCCCATCCCGCGCGGTCCCCACTCTGCGGGCGCCCCCACCCTTCCCCAGTGCGCGCGCACGAGCCGGCCAGCCAGGGAGCTGTGCGCTCGGCAGCCTGCGGGCGGCGGCGGCCGACTGGCTCGCTGGAAGAGGGTGGCCAGGGGCGGCGGGGGAGGAGCTGGCGCCGCAGCCGCTCCCCTCGGGCCGCGCCCCACCCTCCGCCGCCACCTGCGCGTGCCCTCCGGGCTCCCCAGCGCTGGGGCTGTGTGGGCTCTCGGTGCTGCAGCGGCGGTGTCACTGCGTCCGCCAATTGGGAGACTCGGCGTCTGGCTCCTTGGGACGCGGGACGAGCCGCGCGGCCGGTTCTGGCGAGCGGAGGGTGCGCGGCGCGCGTCCCTCCCTGCCGCGCTCCCCGCGACGTTTTGGGAAGGGGGGCGGAGAACTGCTGTGACTTTTGAGGTGCGACTCCTCCTTCCGGCCAGCCTCCCGACGCGCCGGCTGCGAGACAGGCCGGTGTGCCCGGCAGGCCCCGAAGGCTCTTGGCGCGGTGTTGGGACTTGGAACGTGTCCGGGAGCCGGCGGCGCTGTGCGCTCTGGTGAGTTTGCCGGCGGGGTGGGGTGGCCCCCGCGCGAGGGGCGGAGAGGAGGTCGCGCTCGGCCCCCGCGCCCGCCCCCGAGTGCTGCCCCCACTTTGAGAGTAATTGAGACTTGAGCGTGACTGCGGAGCGCCGAGGATGCGGGCGCCCGGCGCGGGCTTCCCCTCAACCCGGCGTGATGGAACGGGTCGGTGAGCGGAACAAAGGCGCCCGCCCGGGGGAACAGGTCCTCGGCTGAAGAGCGCGGGTCGCGCACCGCGACGGCCGCCTGCGGGCGAGGGTGGTGGCTGTGCGGCCCTAGGCGTTGCGCGTTCCGCCGCGGACAGTCGGCGAGTCCTGAGCCGGGCACCTGCGCGCCGCTCCATCCGCGGCTCCTCGGCAGCCCCGCCGGCCAGTCCCGGGGTCCGCGGCGCCGGCGGCACGAGGTCCTGAGGCGAACCCGTTGCTGGAGCAGAGGAGAGACCCCGGCCCCCGGCCTTTGGCCGAGATTCCTGAAAGGGGCCGCGAGCGGTGGACTGAACCGGCATCTCTGGGAGCACTTCTGCAGCCCCGTGGCTTCCATGTGAGCGATTCCGCTGTCCCCCCGACCGCCCCGTCCTCCCAGCGGTCTTCGCCGCTGCAGCATCCGCGCTGTGGGGCGGGCAGCGGCTGCGACCCTCGCCGGCCGTCTAGTGTGTGAGGCTCGCACGGCTCCCGGCTGCCCCGCGCTTCGCGGGAGCCCAAGGGGGCGCGGGTCCGGGGCGAGAGCCGGTCGGCTGTTTGATGGCTTCACTGAGAAGAGTCAAAGTGCTGCTGGTGTTGAACTTGATCGCGGTGGCCGGTTTCGTGCTCTTCCTGGCCAAGTGCCGGCCCATCGCGGTGCGCAGCGGAGACGCCTTCCACGAGATCCGGCCGCGCGCCGAGGCAGCCAACCTCAGCGCGCACAGCGCCAGCCCCATCCAGGATGCGGTCCTGAAGCGCCTCTCCCTGCTCGAGGACATCGTCTACAGGCAGCTGAATGGTAAGGACGCCCATCGGCGCCCACGGGGTTTGGCGTGGGCGGGCCGGGCACTGGGTGAGCCCCGGGCCCCTGCGCGCTGTGCTCGGGAGCCGGCACCTCCTGGCTCCCGCGCGCAACCCTCCCTGCCCCGTCTCGGGCAGGAGGCCGAGGCTGCTGGAAAGAACAACTACCTGCCTCTTTTCCGTGCCCCAACTGCAAGTTTGGTTTTATCCTGGAAACATGTCAGCACAGTTGGCGTCAGGTCCCCGCGTGAGGGCAGGAAATCATTCCCTGGCGACTCTAGTCCGAGCGCAGAAACTATTCAAGCGGCCAAGTGGGACTGGAAGCGCGGGCCAACATCTCGGAGGAAATGGCTCTCAGCTTTTAGCGTTTGGTGGGGGGCTATCGGGAAGGGGGAGATTGGCAGGCGTAAATGTCTGCAGACAAAGTCAAGGCCCCAGGTCGCGGAGCTAATGCGCTTCACTAGTAAGTTGGAGGAATATGTCATCTCTGTATGAGGGAGGCTGCACAGCTAATCATGAGGACGCTTCCCTTCCCGCTGCCGTGGAGGCTGCTATTAAAAGCACACCGGGTTTCTCCTCTGGAGCTGCCGAGGGGCGATAAAGTTCGCCGTGGGCCTGGGAAACAAGTGTTCCCAGAGTGTAGCAAAGCGAGGTGTGGCATATCATTGGTGACAGTTGTCATAATCTGTTCCATCTAAAATGCTCTCAGTGCTTCAGGAGAAGAGGGAGATTTTTCATGTGCCCTGGTCATACTTGGTCCAGGTCACTGGACATTCTCTGTCCCCAAGGCCAGAGTGAGTGTTACCTACTTAAGCACAGGTGACTTTCCAGGTCTGCTTGGGGTTATCCAAGGCAGGTACAGTCCTTAGGTACAGGTTGCCTCCTCCCTGAGCGTCTAACTCATGTTGTCACATGAACTGCAGATAATCGTAAAGATGGTGATGATAACTGCTGAAGGAATTCTTGCTGTGTGCCAGACGCTGTGTAAAGACATTGCAAGTGCATTATCTCATTGCAGTCCAGGGAGGTTCCGCCCCATCCCCAGATGGAAAATGAGGCGAGGGGAGGTTAACTAAGTTGCCCGGTGTCCTACTGCTAGGAAGCAGCAGAGTTTGGAATCAGAATCCTGTGTCTGGTTGACCACACAGCCTGCGTTCTTGGCCACTATGCACAAACTTCTGTCTGTGCTTTCTTTCTAATTATAGGGAGTATTAGGTTTGTTGAAAAAGATATATGTGGAGCTGCAAATACAGCTGTATCCCTGTGTACATTTGGGGACCAGACTCACCTGTCTTCACTGTGGTGAGAGTGAGAGATCACCCCCGTGACAGGTGGCAGGGTAAAGGACCGTTCTCTTTCTGTTCACGGATGGTCCCTTGTGGGTAATTTGCCAGGCTGGGGGGCAGCAGTGTGTGTGTGGTCAGATCTCTGAGCACGTGAAAGGACACTGCCATAGGACAAGTATCCAGGGGGTGCCTTGAACTTGCATCTGCAGTGCAAACTGCATGCCTACCCACCCCTTGCAGGGTGTGTGGCCTGGCTGTAGGGTAGCCCATGGAAGTCGTGCGGAAGCTCTTCTCCCGGGTGCCTGAAATCTAAGGCACAGAATGAAACAAAATCCTGTAGCTCATTTCTAGAGGAATTAGAAGCTGTGGGCCTTATTATTCGGCACAGATTCCAGCCATAGACATACCTGTAGGACGCAAAATTTATCAGGCTCTTCTCAGGGACACAGGTCATTTTAGTATTAGTTTCAATTAGGAACATTCAATAGGATATAGCCACATTGCTGGCCCCCCTACTAGGAATAATAAAATTCTACATGGTATTTTCTACATGACACGGACACAGATGAACCCATTGAGTCCACAACGACCCTGAGAGATGGGCGCTCTTACTGCTCCCTGAGTAACTTGCACAGTCACCCAACCAGTGAACGTCAGAGCTGGAAATTGAACCTGGACTGTCTGGCTCCAGAATGCAGGTTCTTGGCTGCTGCCCCAGCACATAGCATGTGCATCAGGATCACCTGGAAGTCAGAGTCTCTGATTCAGTAGGTCTGGGTGGGACCTGAGAATTTGCCTCTTTAACAAGCTTGTGCCGGGGACCATGACCCACTAACCCACGCTCTACTGCCTACACCAAGCAGCACAAAGGCAGAAAACCCATCTGACCTCCTGGCTGGAAGACAGCTGGCTGGGTGGGCTTTTGAGAAGCTGAGGGCTTGCTTCAGCTGAGCCGGGGTCTGGCTTCTTTCTCTGTGCCCTCTGCCATGTAAGCAGCTCCCACACTGGTTGAGTTGGATGCTGTGGGTGGAGGAAGGCTGAGTTTTCTTGACTTGCAGCCTCTGAGCAGGAGCTGGCAGGAAGACCCAGTTGAGAGCTTTTCCCAGGCAAGCGAGGAATTCAAGCTGCAACTAGGCGGATGTTGTCTTCCTGCCCGCCTAGTGTCATGAAGCTTGCAGGAGAAGATTGTGAAATGAAGAGGACCCTCCCTCTCTCCACCTACCCCCCAAGCGCTCTCCGTTCTTTGCCTGTGCCTGTGTTGGGTAATGCATGTCCCATCTGTCGATGTGCTAGGCTCCTCCTGCAGCTGGAGGCTGGGGGAGGCAGGAGAAGGCTCCCAGTGCCTGGGAGAGGGGACCTGGACTTCACCTGTCCTCTTGCTCTGCAGCCTGTCTCCATCAATTGCTACCCCAGAGGAGAAGGATACCTTGACCTTAGTGTTCTTTATTCCTTAGGAATTAATGGAAGGCCTGCTGGAGCTGGGCACGTGCATGCAGTAGGAGCAAGGCCACTGGGCCAGCCCCTCTGGTGCGAAGTGAGAACTGGCATTGTACAGGTTGCTCGGGTTTCCTAACCCTTTGCCGTGGACTCCTGTGAAGTTCAGGCAGGGGAGTTTCGCGGAGGGCTCCACCTTCTCCTGCCGCCGAGCCCAGCCATCCCTTGTGCTCTCTCACGGATGAAACAGGATTTCCGGAGTGTTCCGCAAGGGGCCCACTGAGACAGCAAGGGAGTGACCCATGCTTCTGCTAAGACTTGGTTCCAAGATCCTGAATCCTGCCTTTTGAAAAACAGCTATATGTTATTGTTGTTTAGTTTTGTTTTTCTTACCACAGGCCGAGAGGGACAGTTGAAAGAGAAAGTGGAGATGCTGGTGTAGAGCAGAGAGCAGCCAGAGCTGAATGCGTTTGCCCTCCAGGATGTCTCTTGCAGCTATTCTTCCATTCCTTCCATTAGGCCCCTTACGGCTGCCCCAGCCCCCACCCTTATTTCCTGCACCTGGACCGTTGAGCCACTGTCCTTTAGCCGGGTGCCCTGCCTCTGGTGTCTCACCCTCCATCCCAGTGAGCACACATGGCTCCAGCTATCTGGGTGGAAAGCACCACTTCCAAAGGGCCCCAAATCTTCCAGTGGCTTCTTGCTTCCTAAGCAGTCATGGTCCAGCGTGAAGGCCAGCAGTCGGGCCAGCTGACACAGCCAGCTCCGACAGTGTGTCTAGTGTTCTCACTCCTACCCACTCTCTTCTGCCTCCTTGCGCCAGACCCATCTACTTTTTGCAATATGTCACATTTCCCTCAGGATTTTTAGCCTCCGCAATTCAGCCCCAGTCTTTGAGAAGTGCCAGTTACCCTGGTTTGCTCCCCCACCCCCTTCCCAGATGCTGCCCATCCTTTGATGAACACCTACTGGGACAGGGCTGTGGCCGACTGCACGGTCTGAGCTCTTCTGGCTCTGACTTGCTTGAGTCTTTGTTGTCCGTGACCTTTGCACCCCTGGCCTGCACTGTTGTGCCTCTGTGGGTTTATCTCTGGAGTCCAGAACAGGACTGTGGCCTTTTAAAGGGATGGAACCACATTTTAAACTTTTTAATACCACCATTATCCCTCAGCATGCAATACCACCTTGCACATAATGTGGGCACTTAAGGTTTATTGGTTGATTAATTGGATGGGAGCTAGTTTTAGGAGGTAAATCATAGCCACGGAGGAAATAACCTCAAGACTGTAAAGGCTCCGTTGGGTTGAATGGATGTGGTGAGAGGAGGGGGCTGGAAGGACTCAGCCAGGGAGAGTGAGTGTGAGGAAGCCATCTTGCCTGCTCCATCTTGCCCGCGCCATCTTGAGGCTACTCTAGTCTTCACCCTCCTGACTGAAGGGATCCAGGTCCTTGGAGGAGCTTGGAAGTGAAGCAGTCAGCTAGGTTAGGAACCAGCAAGTTTCAGTGTGTTTTCTTTGAATGTGTGGTTTTATGATATGAACATATTTTATAGTTGATCCTTGAGCAATGTTGGGGTTGGGGGTACCAAACCCCTGTGAAGTTGAAAATCCACATATAACTTTGGACTCTCCCAAAACTTAACTACTCATAGCCTACCATTGACCAGAAGACTTACCAATACCATAAGCAGTCAGTTAACACACATTTTGTATGTTTCCTGTATTATATATACTGTATTCTTACAATAAAGTAAGCTAGAGAAAAAATATTGCCAAGAAAATCATATGGAAGAGAAAATCTATTTACTATTCATTAAGTGGAAGTAGGTCACCACAGAGGTCTTGTCATCCTTGTCATCTTCACGTTGAGGAGGCTGAGGAGGAGGAGGAAGAGGAGAGGTTGTTCCTTCTGTCTCAAGGGTGGCAGAAGCAGAAGAAAATCTGCATATAAATGGACAGGTCAAACCCTTGTGCAAGGGTCAACTGTGTATTCTTTTTTTGTTGAATAAAATAATACATATTTATTGTAGAAAATTTGGAAAATCTAAAAAAAAAACACAGAAGAAAACACTGTTTAAAATATTGTTAAGAAATGATGGTATGGTCGTTTTGTAGCAGCATTAGGAAAATAGACCCAGCCAGGCAGATTTCTTGTTAGAATTCCCATGTAACTATACATGACTTCTGGCTTTCTGTCACTTTTCTTTCACCTTCTGAGGATGTTATTTATTTTGCTCATTTTAGAGATGAGAAAGGTGAGAAACAACATGCCGTGTGAC